CCCCAAAACCCCAAAACCCCAAAACCCCAAAACCCCTTCCTTATTCGTCGAATAGACATAAGCTAATTATTTTTAGTCAAACAGGGAATTACCACCTTGTCCTGCTCCTCCAAATCCTGTTGATTGATTCTGAGAGGGTTGAGTAAATCCTCCAAATGCCTGAGTATTCTGCTGAGGAGTACTACTGAATGAGGAGGCTCCAAATGCTCCTGTACTCTGAGGAGCTCCAAATGCTCCTGTACTCTGAGGTACTCCAAATGCCCCTGTACTCTGAGGAGCTCTACCAAAACCTGTTGATGGGGACTGTCCGAATGCCCCAGTGCTAGTCATTCCTCCTGAAGAACTAAATGCTCCAGAGGAGGATTGTCCCCATGCTGGAGGTTGACTATAAATTAAAAGATATGTTTTTACCTTGCTGGTGCTCCACCAAACATGGAAGTTTGCTTCTGAGGAGAAGGTCCTGCATCTTTCTTTTTGATATTTCCAAGATTCACTATCGTCATTAGATTAGATATTGATAATACTTACCCAATCCTTCACCCATTGACCATGCATCTTTCTCAGAAGACTGGAAAGCTCCAAATCCATTATCTTTCTGTGATGTTTGAGTAGTGGGCTGAGATCCTAATGCAGATGAAGTTGGTGGCTGTTGTACTCCGAATCCCCCTGTTGAAGCAGCTGAAGCACTAAACCCACCTGGAGTCGCAGATGCTGTTCCAAATATATCATTACTTGGAGGGGCCATGCCTGTCGTTCCTCCAAATCCTGAAGTTTGTTGGAATTGTTGAGGAGTTCCACTGCTCTGGAATTGAGCATTTGATCCTAAGGTATTTTGAGCTACACCAAAACCAGCTGTAGACTGAGGTTGAAATTGAGTCTGCTGATTTAAATTCATCTGTCCAAAAGCTGCATCAAGGCTTCTAGTAGTTGATGTCTGTTGGTAAGTACCAAAACTCTGCGCTTGTGGAGGAGGTGCTTGACTCATAGCAGCCATACTTGCAAATGCATCAATTCCTACATTTTGTTGCCCAACACTTGGAAAATCCAGAGGGGATTCTTTCTGAGGAGGCTTTGGCAAAGAGAAAGCTTGGGGAGCTTGGGCACCAAATAAGTCCTGAGCTTGGCTATTTTGAGGTGCACCGAAATTTTCTCCAAAAACATCCGTTGTAGGATTACTCTGCTTTACATTTTGTGAAGAATCTTCCATCATCAATCCAAATATATCATCTTGCTTGTTCTCTTCATTTGGTTTTTCATGCTTAGATTTTTTCTTCTTGTTCTTGCTCTTTTTCTTCTTTTCCTTTTCGTCTTCGCTGCTAGATTCGTCTTCACTGCTGTTGTCGCTATCACTGCTACTTTCTTCGCTTGAGCTTGAGGCCTTCTTCTTTTTCTTCTTCTTATGCTTCTTTGATTTTGAATTTTCTTTCGATTTCTTCTTATTCTTATTTTTGTCCTTTCCAGAAGACAAAAAGACCGAGGTTGGGTGCTCATAATTTCCTGAGTAGCTAGCCATGCCTGAAATACTTCCTCCTTCAGCGTTACTTATAGAAGCAAACTTTTCTCGATTTTTCCTTGAAAATTCTCTTTCTTCTTGTAATCGTTCTGAATCTGAAACCAAATCTACAATAATTTTAGCCTTGTCTCTAATCCCAGATCATTTGTCAATGCCGTCTACATGATGGGTGCAATCCTGAAGGGTTCTGATCTTCCGTATATCATCTTTGAGGTCTTGGATAATCCTTTCATTCCCATTTTTGACAAGAAATTCCATAAGATGCAGACCCTTAAAGATATTTACATGATATTTCATCTCAAGGTTGACTGTCTCCCACAAATGTTTCATGACCAAATTATAATTATTCCTACACACATTCACACACCCAAAACGTACCAATCCTCTGTAAAATCAGCTATCTGCTGAAGTTTCGTATTAGTAACATTCCAGCTATCCGAATTGGTTGCTTCTTCTAGCAAAATCTCTAACTCAGTCTTCCTCAAGACTTTGTTCTTCCTATAAAAAGTCCGAAATAGTCCCTCAGCCCCCACCCCAGCTCCTTTGGATTCCTAATACCTGGAGTACTTACAGATCAGTGGCTGATTTCAAGATCGAGTCGAACATCTTTAAAATTAAATTTATAAATCTCTCTCAAAACCATAGAGTCATATTGGGGTTTTGGGGTTTTGGGGTTTTGGGGTTTTGGGG